CCCCCCCCCACGGGACCCCAGGGTTGCAGGCGGGGGCGGCCGGGGGGAGGTTGCACAGGCCGCCGCCGCCGCCGCTTCTGCGGGGTCCGCGGTTGCACAAGCGCTGCCGGCCGGAAGAGGCGCCGCTTCCTCCCCGTGCAAGAGGCGGAGGCTGCCCTGCCCGGCCACCCGCAAGCCCATCAGCCACTTCCTGGGATCCCCCGGAGCGATGCGCAGGATCCTTGCCCAGAGCCGCCTGGACGCAGGGAGTCTCCAGCCCAGAAGGCTGGGAGTTGAAGTGGCCCCGGTTGGAGACCCCGGGCCTGGAGCCCTTCGGACCCGTGGACTTCAACTCCCAGAATCCCCCAGCCTGCCAAGCGATGGGCTCTGGAGTCCCCCCGCTGGGGAGCCTGGTCCTCCAGTTCGGGAGGTGGGGGTGGAGGCTCCTCCTGGGGTCTTGGAGGGCTGGTCCCTGCAGGGTGGCTGGGGGGGAAATGGGGGGCAAAGCTGGGGAATTCTGGGAGTTGAAGTCCGGTTGGCAAGGTTGAGCAACTGTGGGGCCTGAATGCCAGCCCCCTATTTTGAGGGGCTGCTTTGCACACCCCCTCCCCCACTTCCTCCCCCTCCCCCTCCTCGCTTCTGCCAACGTTCTGCATTAGCGCCGGGACGTCCTCTGAGGTTTGGCACCTGAGTTTTGCTTTAAAGCAAGTTTGGGGCGTGTGTTTCAAGCGGCCTTAATTAGGATCCTGGCTTTTATGAAGACGCAAATTGGCTTCTCGGGGGTGGTGACAGCCTCCCTGATGTGGCCCAGCCAGACAGGTGCGGGGAGCCAGTTGGCCAGGTGAGCGAGCGAGCGAGCAAGTGGGCGGCTGGATCCGAAAGGAGTCCCCCACGCAGAGAGCTTGCGTCACCTCCACGGCGTCTGCTGCCTGCCCCCGCGAACCTCCCGCCGGGTTTAGCGTGGAATCAGGTTGTGCGAATGCACCACGCCAGCTTGGATTTGACTCGGAAAGCCGGACGGGCTGCTTTGCCAAAGAGAAGCGGTCCCCCTCTGGGGGGGGGGGGGGGTCCCTTTGCAAGCTGTGTGCGCCACATGTCCTTCCAGGGTTTTTGCTTTTGAAGAGGGATCTCTGGTTACAGGGCTCTGCCAAAAGTCGGGGGGGGGGGGGGGGGGGGGGGGGGGGGGCGGGGTGGGGCCGGGGTCCAAGGCAGCGGGGGGCCCCCCCCCCCCGTTTTTCCCCCGGTGAGCCCCCCCCTTCCCCCCCCCCCCCCCAGCAGCTGTGAAGAGGCATCGTGCTGAATCCCTTGGAGGGGAGTCCTCCTCTGAAGATGGCCGACTCGAACGGGGCCCTGGAGCCGCGTCCCAGGAGATAGAAATGAAACAGGCAAGTGATGGCTTTACCGCCTCCCTCGGATGGGGCCCGTTCCTAAGGCTTCTGCCCCCCCCTTTCAGAAAAGGGTCCTCCTTAAAATAGGGAATTGAGTTTAAAGTTGGGGGGAGATGCGCAGGGGGCGGGATGTAAGAGGGCAGAAGGAGGAGGCGGTTGTAGGGCTGAGCAAGTTTCTGGTCCCTCTCGAGCACCCCGGAGTGAACGCAAAGAGCGGCCCCTGGTTTGTTCTTCAAAGAGAAAGTGTGTTGGTTTTGTTGCGTGCCCCCAACTGCGCCGTTCATCTGGGCGACAGCCCCGATCCTCCCCCCACCCCCCAATTCCCCAAACCAGGTTTGACACGGAGCAAGGAATGCTTTGCGCCCAATGGGCGCAACTTGATGACGGCTGCTGCACGTTTGGTCTTTTTTTGGGGGGGCGAAGGGCGTGGGCGAACTCTGCCAAGTGCTGAGCACGGGGAAAAGGCAGTAATGGGAGCCAGATGTTGTGGGGGGGGCGGTGGTGAAGGCCTTCCCTGCATCGAGAGGAGCTCCGGGACAGCCCAGCAACGAGGCTTGCGAGTTTAAAAACGAAACAAACAAAAAAAGACTGGGGGTACACAAAATGTTTACTTAGGGTGGAGTGGAACCTCTCTCTGGGGGGGCACTCTATCTGTAAGCAGGGTGGGGGGAGAGGGAGCACTGGGTGGCCACCTGCGCAGGGCTGAGCTAGCCTCACGTGGACTCAGCCACTCGATCGCCCCAAGCGCCCAGGTGGAAGTGCTGGGCTGCGTTTCCTTTTGGGGCGTTGATTGAATCCATTGGCCGTCCCTCCCCCCCTCCCCCCCTTCTCTCTCTGGGGGAGGGCACCCTGGGTGGGGTGGGGGGGCTGTGGGGGCCCTAAGAAACCTGTGGCCAAGAGGTGGGACTTTGGGGCACCCCCAGCCAGGTGAGGAAGGATCCCGGGTCTCGGGGAATCAGACTGCGGCTTTAGAAACTTGGCGGGGGGTGGGCGGAGAATCCCCTGGTGGATTAAATGGATTTTCCTGTTTATAGTGGGGGTGGGGGAAGCCCCCCACGTCCTTCTCTTCCTGTCCCTCTCTGCGGTGTGTGTCCGGAGGCAGAGTTTGCTTGCTTGCCGGCCGATAAGCCGGGTATTTGCTGCGGATTCCACTTTGCCCTCCGATTATCCGGGGTGGCCTCCAGTTTCCGACCGAGCTTGTGATTCGCCAGCCGGCGGCTGCCGCTTGGCAGGGGGGGCTCCTCTCAGGAGGGAGCAGCGGGATTAGAGGCGGCGGGTGGGGCGTAATCCCAGGAGGGGAGCCCAGCCGGGCAAGGGTCTTGGGCGGGGGGGGTCTCCTCTACCTTGGCAGGTGCGGGGTGAGCCCAGTTTGTGGCCTTGGCCAAGGTCCAGAGCCGGCTCCTCGGATGCGCTTCAGGGGATGGCGCTTTAATCCCCTTAAATAGAGCGTCTACTTTAG